TGACAGCTGTTTTAAATTGTTTTTTTCTGTTTTATAAATAATCAAATTAAAGCATAAAACAAACTATTTTTAACATTAATACACTGATTTAAATATAAATTTAAATATTTATATATTAATAATAATTAATTAATTAATTATTATTTTAAGACAAATACAAACACACAATTTTTTTAACATTGAAACATTGATTGAAATAATATTTTAAATATTTATATATTAATAATTAATTAATTAATTAATTGTTATTTTAAGGAAAATACAAAAAAAACACAAAACCAGTTATTTTAGTATCACTGTTACAGTTTTATTAATATTTTGCATTAGTTTTTACTTTTATATCTTCCATGTTCATTTTAGTTAAAGTTTTAGTAATTTCACTGTGTTTTTACTATTTTGTTTATTTTTATTTGTCTATATAATATGTATTCATTTTTATTTAAGATCTAGTTTTAGTTGTTTTAGTACATCAAGTTAAGCTAAATGAAAATGAGAAACGTTTCTTTGGCAACTAGCTGAAATAAAATAAGTTCAAGTTTTTATTTATTTTATTTCAGTTAAGGTTTATTTTATTTAAAGTAAGGAAAAGGTTTAGTTCACTATTATAAGCCTGTTCACAACAAAACACAACAGAGGTTTAACGTATACATTTAAAAATGGACAAAAAAAATCTCTTGATTGTGTGAGATTCATTAAAAATAATGTTTTAATAAATTATATTAATGTTATAAATTATTAGATTATTATTAATATTATTACTACTAGTACTTTGAGAAGTATAATGTACATTTTATAATAGTTATATATATATATATATATATTTCTGTCATAATTTATGTACTTCTATAATGTAAATATTTTTTTAAATTTAATAATAAATATTATACATACACTGCCGTTCAAAAGTTTGGGATCAGTAAGACTTGTAATGTTTTTAAAGAAGTCTCTTCTGCTCATCAAGGCTGCATTTATTTGATCAAAAATACAGAAAAAAACAGTAATCTTGCTAAATGTTATTACAATATAAAATAATGGTTTCTATTTTAATATCCTTTAAAATATAATTTATTTCTGTGATGCAAAGCTGAATTTCCATCATCATTACTCCAGTATAAAGCGTCACATGATCTTCAGAAATCACTCTAATATGCTGATTTATTATAATTATTATTATCAATGTTGTGCTGACAAATATTTTTTTTGGAAACTGATACTTTTTTCAGGATTCTTTGATGAATAAAAAGTTAAAAAGAACAGCATTTATTCAAAATATAAATCTTTTCCAACAATATAAATCTTTGCTATCACTTCTTAACAATTTAACACATCCTTGCTGAATAAAAGTTTTAATATCTTTCAAAAAAAAGAAAGAATAAAAATGTACTGACCCCAAAGTTTTGAACTGTAGTGAATATTGTTAGAAAAGATTTCTATTTGAAATAAATGCTTTACTTTTTAACTTTTTTAAAAAAGTATCACAGCTTCCAAAACAATATGAAGCAGTTTCCAGCTCTGATAATAAATCAGCATATTAGAATGATTTCTGAAGATCATGTGACTGAAGATGCTGAAAATTCAGCTGTGCATCACAGAAATAAATTACATTTTAATGTATATTAAAATAGAAAAACGTTATTTTACATCATAATACTATTTCACAATATTACTTTTTTTCCTGTATTTTTGATCAAATAAATGCAGCCTTGATGAGCAGAAGACACTCCTGTAAAAACATTAAAAATCATTCTGATCCCAAACTTTTGACCGGTAGTGTATATATATAACATAAAACATATAATGTACATATTTCTATTTTTATTTTGGCGGTTAGCCGTGATTGTTTACCCCAGCAGAATCCTGACGCGGATCTCTTTGTTGGTGCGTGAGACGGCGTTGAGGGCCGTGATCTCGGCGTCGTACCAGAAGCCTCGCTCCTCGGGATTCTCCAGGTTATAGTTAACCATCACCAGGTCACCCACCTGCAGCTGGTCGAAGCGCAGCAGAGTCCTGGCCCTCGGACGAACGTCACCCGCGCTCATCTCCACCACGCCGTTCTCCGGATAACTGCAGACACCAGAAACAAACACCACCGTCATCAGCTACAGACTCAAGACTGAACGAGTGACTGACGATAAACGGCTGACAGCAACACCACGCCACCAACAACAACTGCAATAATGACTGTTTCCAAACAGGTTTCCTCAACACTCCCTCTGTCTGTGATTGGTCAGTCACACAGATAGCCCTGCCCCCCGAACTCACTCCACTGGTTAAGTCAGAAATTGATATGTTCGGGCCGATCAAACAAACTGATCAATGTTCTGAAAGTGTCACAGTCGGCGCTTATGTCAAGAAAAACCAAACTAGAAATGGTTTAATTAAAGCAGGGTTTCCTCAAACTGGGGTTCGTGAGTTGGAGAGCTAATAATGAATTAAATCATTAAAATGTCAAATTGAAAAAAAAACAAAAAAACAATCAAAATAAAACACTTACTAAAAAGTCATTAAATTATAAAAATGTAAAAATAAAAATGAAAAAAGTAAATAAAAACAAAGAAAACAGAATATATTAACTTAAAAAAAATAAAACAAACAAATTATAAAATAAAACACTTGCTAAAATGTATTACATTTATAAATGGTCAAAATATTTTCAAAACACAACCAATCAAAATAAAACACAAAAAATTCATAAAACCATAAAAAGTCGAATAAAAACAAAACAATTAAAATAAAACACATCAAATTAAAAAGTAAAAAAATCAAATTAAAATGTATTATTTTAAGACAAAAAACATCAAAATAAAACAAAGTTAATTATATCATAAAACATCAAATTAAAAAAAATAAGACAAAAAAATTTATTAAATCATAAAAAGTCAAATAAAAAATGTTAAATAAACAATCAAAACTAATAATTAAATAAATCTCTTAGTAAAAACTAAATCGTAAAAATGTCAACTTAAATTATTTTAAAGCAAAAACAACTGAAATTTAAAAAATGAAAAATAATAAAAAATATAAAAAAATAACGGTAAACGTTATTTAAATAAACGAATATTCGATTATTAGTTTTTTATGAGCCCAAATATTCTAATACAATATTTTTTAAAAATGTCTATCCCTACAAGCAGCAACACACTTCATCACGAAGCTCTGAGCGACTGCAGCGCCGTGAACGCTCCACAACATCTGCTGAAATGCTTGCCTTGGAACTTTAATATAATACCCCTGACTTATATAATAAAGAAATACTTTATTTGTATGGTTTTGTAATATCATATTTCCTTGTGTGGTAGATCTGACTCTTATTATAGAATTTTAAACCTACAAGTAAGTCTATTTTTATGACAGCACTGACTGTAAAGTGACTGTAATGAAGTAATCAAAATAGCTTTACACAACTCTGTGCTTTTGTTCTCATTTATTTTCATTTTTAGTTTAGTGAATTTAACTTCTGCTTTAAAAGCATTATTTTTGTTTTTATATTGCAATGTTACAATGTTACAATGATATAAAGATGATATAAAGGCTTATATCGTTACATTCACTTTATTTGTTTTCATAGCCTTTAATATGTATTGTTTTGACAACATTGGGCGGTAAGTGAAATATATATATATTAAATACAGATTTTTTAAAATACAAATACAAAAATGAAAATACCGAGATATATACCGTATATCACAAATCGGCCAAAAAATACCGAGATATGAATTTTTGCCCATATCGTCCCAACCCTAGTCAGTTTACATGTTTTTAGTTTTTTTTAAACATTTAAATAAATAAACAATATTATTTAAACCTTTATTTGTGTTGAAAACCTAATTATTTAAAATAAATTAAAAAACAATAGCTGTGTTAATTATTTAAACAGATTTAATTTAATTTATTTATTTAAATGTTAAAAAACCTAAGACAAATAATTGTAGGTATTGAATATAATTTTTTTTTTTTTTTTTAAATGTTGGGAGACAGAATAAAATGTTTCACATGTTTGTATGTTTTTAACATTTAAATAAATAAACTATATTATTATTTAAACATGTTTTATTTAAGACAGTTTCATGTTTTTTTTTTTTTTTATAAAAACAATAGTTGTGGGGACAAAATAAACAATATTTTTTTTGTGTTTTAGAATAAAAAATAAATAAAATAATTAATTAAACACATTTATTTATATACTAAAAACCTTAAAATAATTTTAAGTACCGTAGAAATACATATAAAAGCCCTGCTCTAAATGAATCCAGAGATGCCCAATCAGCATCACCCTTCAGCTCGGTTTCCCAGCATGCAGTGCAGCATGACGCTTTGCTCTCGGAATCGATACACTTACCGCATTCAGAACGCATCCCATCATGCACCTCCTCACAGCAATAAACAAGAAGCTCACACTGACTGCCGTTTGGTAGGACTTCAATGAGAACCAGACAAGCAGGGAAAAACAAAGAGACTTCCTTCCCATGATGCACTTACTCTTCATATTTAATGTGGTAGGAGACGTGCGCCGGATCCGTTTTGGATGTTGACGGTTCGCTGCCGTCTGAGTTTAGCGCTGTGCTGGATGATGATGATGATGATGAAGGGGCGGCGCTCGTCTCCGGCTCCAGCTTGTTGTTAGTGCGTTTGCTGGGCCGGCCGACCCTAGCTCTGCTGTTCTGTGCTTTAGATGCAGGAGAGACCTTCTCAATCACGCCTTCGAACCAGGCGCCGATGCTGACGTCCCTGCAGTCCACTAACTCATTCACCTGAACAACACAGAGCAAACACCATCACTGCTACAGCTCACCATTATGAGATCAACGGTCACCTACACTGCAGGAATAACACACTTACACCGTCTGAATTTGGGAACAAATATAATGCATCACTTCCTTCATAAACAAAATGACATGAATAATAATAATAATAACCATCATAATAAATACGAAAACAATGAAATAAGGAAAATAATATTTTAAATAATAATAATAATTATTATTATACAATTCTATTGTTATTAACAATAATAATTATTATTATCACTAGTATTATTATTCCAAATGTTAGAATTCACACTTTGGTTTTGGTAAATTCTAAATATTAAAAAATAATAAAAAGATGAAATTTGTTATTGTTATTATTAATGCATATAATGTTTCATAGCACGCAGCAATGTGTTAATTTAAATGCAATTAATTAATTTTAAATTACATTAATAAAAAAAAAACAATGTAATAAAAAAAATATATAAATATTAAGATAAAAATTAAAATGATATTTTAGATTATTATTATTATTATTATTGTCATTAGTTAAAATAATAATACATTATAATACATGACTAAATAATAATAATAATAATTCCATATGTTAGAATTCATGCTTTGGTTTTGCTACCCGACTCATCTAAATATTAAATGATAATAAAGAGATTAAATTTATTATTGTTATTATTAATGCATATAATGTTTCATGGCACATAGCAATTTAATGTGTTAATTTAAAAGCAATTAATTAATTTTAAATTACATTAATAAAAAACAATGTAATAAAAATAATAATAATCATAAATATTAATATAAAAACTAAAAAGATATTTTCGATTATTATTATTGTCATTAATAATACTAATAATAATTCCATATGTTAGAATTCATGCTTTGGTTTTGCTACCTGACTAATCGAAATATTAAATTATATTACTGCGATCAAACATATTATTGTCATTATTAATGCATATAAAATTGTTTTGTGGCACTTTCAATTTAATGTGTTAATTTAGTACAATTAATCAATGCTAAATTAAATTAATAAAATAATAAATAAATATTTAAAAAACAACATTAAATTTAAAATATAAAAAATAAAATAATAAAAAAATTTAAATAATATTTTAAAACATTGTTATTATTAAAATAATATTTTATATTATTTTAGAATTAATACAAAAACAATGTGAAAAAAACCCCCTCAATAATTCCCCATAAGCTGTATGTAAATTTTGTAATAAGTAATTTTCCTACCAACTATAAGCTGTATGTAAATTTTGTAATAAGTAATTTTCCTACCATCTAAGGAGTAACAAGTAAAGAGTCAATGACGACAGACTCCACAATCATTATATGATATGATAGTTATGTGATGAACTATAAGTCCCATCCAGAGCAAGCTCTTACTTTGAAGAGTCCGATCCCGGGATCGATGAGGAGCGTCCGGCTGGATGTGGACGGCTCGCTGTCAGACACCGGACTACAGGGTTTGGACCCGTTTCCGTTGCTGTTGGCGATGGTTGCCGGGGAAACGACTGGTGTGGTGGGTGTGGCTGAGGTGGGGACAGATGCTGCGGTGGGCGGGGCTACGGCACAGGCCACACCCTCACCGTTGTTGAGGGAGGGGCTATCCGGGGGGTCCGTCTGTGAGCGGATGAGAAGCTGGACGATGTCGTTAAGACCAACGTTGTAATCGAAGAGCGTCTGACCATCTTCCATCTACCAAAAAAAAGTATGTCAAAAATCAACTATTAGTTTTCTAAAATAAGCAGTGCATTGTAACTTGCCAAACACATTTTGTCATTTTATTAAATAAATCTTCTCATAAAGAACAGTTGTGCTGCACAATATTTTTGTGGAAACCGTGATACAGTACCATTCAAAATTTAAGATGCTTTTAAAAAAATAATAATAATAAAAATAATAAATACATATGTTCTCATCCAGGACGCCATAAATTGATCAAAAGCGACAATAAAGACATTTATAATGTTACAAAAGATTTTTTCAAATAAATGCTGTTCTTTTGAACTTTTTAATAAAATGTATCACGGTTTCCACAAAAAAAGAAAGCACTGTTATTTTAAATTGTAATAATATTTCATAATATTACAGTTTTACTGTATTTTTTATCAAATAAATGCAGCCTCGGTGAGCAGAAGAAACTTTAAAAACATAAAAAAAATTATTATTATATTTTAAAAATATCTAGTTAAGTATATAATTGTTATATAATTAGTAATATAATATTTATATAATATTATATATATATATATATACACACACATATATAAAATGATATACAAATAAAGTACAAACACACAAACAGTAGGCATCTATTTCACATTCGTTGTGTGTCTTCTTGCAGTCGGGGCAGAATTACACTGAGACGTGTTGTTAGCGGCCTGAGACTGAAGGGACACACGATCACAAACAGCGGACGCCATTAGCCTCGCCTTCTGCTGAATCACCACCGCAAATACAGAAAAGATTAGTGATGACGGTTCTGGTGCAAGAGTGTGTGTGTGTGTGTGTGTTGCCATAGCAACCACCCAGGATCCATTGCACACACACTCGCACGAACACACAACTGTAATTTGCACGGATGTGAGCGGGCGTGAAATATCACCGGCGTACACGCCAGCAGCGGCGGATTCGCTGGCTTGTCTCATTAGCATGAGAATCAGAGGTGTTAGACCTGTTTCCTGTACAAACATTCGTGATATAAATCTAATGTTCATCCAGACCAGCGGGCATTTCCTCCGCAGTTCAGCATTCACTCTTCCTCATGTTGTTCTGAACCTGGATGAGTTTCTTTCTTCTGCTGAAGACAAAAGAAGAATGTTGGTGAACAAACAGTTGACGGTAGCCACTGATTTCCATGGTATGGGAAAAAATACTATGGAAGTCAATGGCTACCGTCACCTGTTTGGTTACCAACATTCTTCTATCCCTTTAAAGGGATAGTTCACCCAAAAATGAAAATTAGCCCATGATTTACTCACCCTCAAGCCATCCTAGATGTATATGACTTTCTTCTTTCAGACGAATCCAATCGGAGTTATATTTAAAAATCCCAGCTTTATAATAGCAGTGAATGGGTGTTATTTTTCAATAGTCCAAAAGACGTCAAATAAAGCACATCTATCCATAATAAAAAGTATCCCACATGACTCCAGGGGGTGAATAAAGGCCTCCTGTTGCAAATCAATGTGTTTTTGTAAGAGAAATATCCATATTTAAAACTTTAGAAACAGTAATCTCCAGCTTCCGCTAACTGTCGTACACACGTTCATTCCGGCGGATGACGTAGGCGTAGCGTAAGCTCGCCTACATGATTAACATCAATGACACAAACAGGTTTATTAGGCTGCTGTCTCTTTAAGACCGAATGCACTGATCTAATATACTGACACGCATCTGATTTCTTTCCCAATTGTTTATGTTCACTTAAAACATAACTGACTGTCTTTATGTAAAAAAGTTATTCATTTTTATTCTTACAACAATAAAACAGTACAATGACCTTATGCTTTATTCTGTATATATTATTATTGAGACAAATTTCATGATTCAATTTTGATTCACAAGCTAGCTACTGGTTTCAGTTTCGATCTTGATTCAATATCATTCATCTTATTTATATTCAATATATTATTTGGATACATCAGGTACAGTACACATCAATCTATATCAACTAATGCAGTAAACTACACAATAAACCCTGTCACTGAAGTTTTTAAAAATAACTTTTAATGATATAATCATGTTTTTACTCCAGTTTGTTGAAATATAAACATTTAAACAGTGGATGTCATAAATAGTTTTAATGAATGTTTTATTCAAACATGTTAAATATTGAAGAACAGGTTCAGTAAAAATATACAGAGTTATTTTTCTAGCTGACTATGGAGTTTATGGTCACTGAATGAGGTAAACGTGACGTTACGTGACATTATTGATCTCAAGCTGTTTTACTGACGTCTTTCCATGGTTTGAACACTGATTGATGGATTCCATGATTCAGGATTGATTTCAGTGAGTTGTTCTGATTCTTCTGATGTTCGTTCGTGTTTATTTTGTGCTGTAACTAGTAGTAAAGAGGACTACAGCACACATTAAAGAGCAGCAAAACCACATTTACTGATTGTATTTCATAATAAAACTGACCGAATTTGAAAGCTGAGACTTTGTTTCATATCAAAAGTAACAAAGCACAAAGATTATTGTGATTTATTGGAATGGGAGGAGCTACAAATAGTGTTTAGTAATGAGAACGGCATAAATCGATTCTTGGGATATAGATTTGTTTTTAACACGTTACGTGTGCAGCTTTATATAAACCCATGTTGTAATGCAAATAAATAAAAGATCTTTGGATTTCACCCTTATTATTAAAACCAATGCTTAGTTTGTGGTTCACTATTATTTTTAATGAAAAACACAACAAAAAAATTCACAACAAGATTTCACCAGAAAGACACAAACAGGCTGAAAAAAAAAATCACATTTCAATGTGTTTTAAAGAGAAAACTGAACACGTCCAACTCAGGCTATATGAGAATTTGCAGGTAAATGTGTTTAATTGTGATGAAAATCCTGCAAAAACTCATTGTGGTCCTAAAACAGGCTTCATTTTCTTTCTGCAAAATCTCATTTCTTCTGCTGTTCTCTTTGGGGTGACAGATTCACCCAAACCTCCCAAAACACAGGAGCACAACAGTGTTAATCCTAAAAGCGCTGACATTATCATGAAAAAGAAAGACTGTCTCTACCAGCGGAATTCAGCCGAAGTTGGGAATGAGAGAGGCCTGATGGAAAATGACTCATGTTTGCTTTCCTGTCCAGATTCCAGATAATTCACTCACAACAGTCAGAGAGCAAAATAATCCAACGCCACACCTCAGCGCAGAAACATCTTCAAACTCACACGCTTCCATTACTCACGTGTGTTTCCCTGAAATCACTCGCCCTGCTTCACAGACGCCTGTAAACCTGCTTTACAAAGTTAAACCCCACTGTACTGTACATTACTGACTGACCAATCAGAGCGAGCTATTCCAGAGTTCAGAATTACAGTTAAAGCCCATTCACACCAACAACACTAACATAACGATTACTGTAACAGTGTGTGTGTGTGTGAGTGTGTGTGTCTGAGAGAGAGTGTGTGTGTGTGTGTGTGTGTGAGAGTGTGTGTGTTTGTGTGTGAGTGAGTGAGAGAGTGTGTGTGTGTGTGTTTGTTTGAG